AAAATAAAATAAATGAACACAAGCTGAAGAAGTAGGCTGTGACTCTGGTAATCTGTAGAGAGCATTGTCTTATAATAGGGCAGTTTGGGTGCCTTGTAGCCATGTGGGAGCAGACAAAAGAAGTCAAATATCAGTGTGTGTGTGTGCGCGCGTGTGTGCACAATGTGCACACATGAAATCTCCTGATTTTCAAATGAAGGAAAAGAGATTCACCAGCTTTCAACTTCTGCTTTAAACTGTTCTAATCCAGATGTGAGAGATTAATTTTAATATTAGATACATTTCCAAAATTCCCAAATATTAAAATATGAGCATCAGCAAGAAAACCTAGGCTGAGAAGTAAGGCAAACCATGGTTGAATCCTGGCTCTACTACTACTAACAGTGTGGCCCTGGTCAAGTTACTTCCCCTCTCTAAACCTCGTTTCTTCATTTGTCAAGTGAAGGTACTATCATCCATCTTGCAGGGTGGTTAGATTAATGGAGAATATAGACTATAAAGAGCTCAGCATAGTACCTACCTCACGGTAAGAACTTGACAAATGAAAGCTATTATTATCCTTCAAGATCCTGATAACACAGAACATAGGACCTATGTTCACAGACATCCCAATTATGTCTATGAATACTACCCAAAGTTTACCTTTAAAATGTCATACTTTCTCACTTTTCTGTAGATCTAAAATTATTCTCAAATAGTTTATTTTTAAAATGTCACATACACTCATTTCTAATAGAAACTAACCAAACTGCAAAGGAAGTTTATCCTAAACCTAACGTTGAACCAACTACCAAATACTGTTTTCAGTGGTTAACAAGTTTTTAAAGTGACGCTGCAAATCGTGTTACCAAGGGTTCAGACTTCTGAATGGAGTGAGTGTAAGGGAAAGCCAGGGATGTGTCCCAAAGCGGTTTGAGTGCGAAATACCCCTGTAAGTCCAAGCGAATATTTCCCAAATGGCATAGAGTTGGAGGAGCCCGAAAAACGAGGTCTGAACTAATAACACCTGGCAGAACGACCTTCCTCCAGTTGAAGGGACAGGAGCAGGTGGCTTTGTGACCCCAAACTATCGTTTTATTCTTAGCCACATGCTCGAGTCAACAGCTGGGTTTTAAACCTTGCAGTCTTCCCCCATGTGCCATTCCTGGCTGCGACGGAGGGAGCAGGACTTCAGGTTCCTCTCGGCCAGTGGAGACAGGCGAAAGGAGGCAAGGGCCCGCGGCCCCGAGGAGTATAGGAGACAAGTCGAGCCACCTGAGCCCAGGATCGAGCCCTTCCCGGGCGGCACCACCCGAGGACCACCCTCCACGCCGGGCCTGTGGAGCTTTGCGGCGCGGCTTCTGTCAGCCTGGCCGAAACGCCGCGGTGGGGGCTGCGCTGGGGGCGTAAGGGAATAACTCGGGGGTTTCAGCAGAGAAAGGGAGGCAAAGGGAGAGGTGGCATGTGGACCCCCAGCCCACGGCGGGGCGCGGGAAGTCACCTCCAGGCCCCCGAATCCTTCGTCCCGTTCCTGCCCGAACCCTTCCCAAGTCCCGGACCCATCGCGCTCCTCTCACCGTCTCGATTTCTGTGTGCTGGGGTCCGGCACTCTGACCCCCCATTACCCCGCGGAGGAAATTCATCTTGTCGCTCAGCCACCGGCTCTACCGGCCCCTTCGGGAAAGAAAAGGTAACTTTCCCTGCCCTCAGCAGGGCCTGGCCCCCAAGCCCGCACTCTGCACTCCCCGGCCGCTACCACCAACGCCTCCTACTCCGCGGCCGGCCGCTCCAGCCCCCTAAGCCCGGAAACGGCCGCCACCACTAGTCAAGATGCGCATGCGCGGGGACGTGGCATTACGTGGCGGCTCGAAGGGCGAAGGCAAAGGGGAAAAGTAGGCGAGAGGAGGCCGGTAGCCCGTATCCGCCCAAGCCCCGCCCACCGCGCAGGTCCCGCCTCCCTCGGCAGAGACACGCCTCCTACTCCCGCCCTTCGCGGGTAGCTACTGCTGGCCCCAACCACCCACGTGGTCGAAGCCCGGCCCTGCCGGCTGGAGAGAATCCCGGTAGTATACGTGTTTTGGCTTGCGGGGTGTTTAATTGTCGCCGAAAGGGACTTACTGCAAGCTATCGAATCTGGGGTCGTATTTTGTTGAGTCGAAAGTGAAATTTTACTTCGGCCGACGTGACAGGTAAGGGGTCCCGGCCCCTGGGAGGGTTCGTTTTGTTTTGCGGTTTGGCAGAATGAGCCTTATGGCCTCCTGATCCTAGTAAATTGCATTTCTTTACAGGGCTTTGTTTGGTGGTAAAAAGGGTGCTAGAGCCCCCTCATTCCACTGCCACCGGAGGGCGCATTTCTCAGTTCTTGCTCTTCAAACCTGTTATAAAAGGAATTCCTAGATCCTAACACCAGGTACGCCGCTCTTTTCAAGTGGTGTGAGGTGGAAACCGATCGAACCCTGCCTGCATTTAGTTTGTTAGAGAAAATACATTGATCTGTAGTGTCAGTTTGGCAGCTAGTAGCATAATATTTTGTTATTAACTTTCAACCCCTGCATTTTCAGTGTTTTTTTTTTAAACATGAAAAATGTCATTTTTTTCCAAAATGGAATGCCCTGTCCCTTTCGAAATGAGATTGCCCAGGTAGGTACACATGCTCCTGGAGTATTCTTGTAAATTTCTTGAGTTTAAAAAGCACAGAGTCGAGTTAGCTTACTAATTCATACACCTCTCCGCTTGGATCCCCTACAGGTTTCAAATTCAACATTTAAAATTGACCTCATCATCTTCCCCAGCCTCCATTAAAGGAAAAAAAAAATCAATATGCTTCTTTGTGCCTTGCCACCCTCAACAGTACCACTAGCCAAATAATTGCCTAAGCTAGAAGGAGGACACTGGGAGGAATCTTATGTTCTGGATTTCACCCCCACATGTCCAGTATTCAAGCCCTTTCATTTCTATTTATAGAATATTTCTCAAACAGGTCCCATGCTCTTCATCCTCTCTGCCTCTGACATAGTTTATGTTCTCATCATTTTTCACCACGATTATAGCAGTAGCTTCCTAACTAGTTTGTCTGCATTCAAGCCCTGGCTTCTGTCCAGTCCAGTCTCCAGTCCAGTCACCCTTGGATGAGCCTAACAACAACAAAACATCTGTCCATTTTGGTACTTTTCTTAAAATCCTCCGGTGGTTGTCCACCTGCTCCATAATAAAATCCAGTCTCTTGTAGCTTGGCATACAGGCCTGTTATGTTCTGGCTCCTATCTTTCCAGCTCCCGCCTCCCCCACATACTCTGCAATTATGCCTGGATATGCCCTTCCCCTCCCACTTCCTCATCAAGGAAACTCCTTCTGGTTCCTTAAGACTTAACTCTGGCGTCATCTGAAAAACTTCCCCTGAAATTCAGATACATATGTCTGTGATAGCCCTTTGCAGTTAATATGTGGAAAGCACTCAATAAATGCTTGTGAAGCCAAACTGTTAAGGGCAGGACTATGTTTTTCATTTTTGTATGTCTGTATGGTTGGCACTGTCATAAAAGGTGATGTTGATGGATAAATGAAGAAGACATTATGGATATATGAATATTATGCCGAGGAGGAGGGTACTTTTTTCATCTGTGACGTGGAATTGTAGATAACAGATATCACAGAGGCTATGGTGCAGGTTGCTTTCCTGCTGCCAAGGTTTTGTTTTTGTTTTTGTTTTTAATGTTTTTATTTATTTATTCATGAGAGTCAGAGAGAGAGAGGCAGAGGCAGAGGGAGAGGGAGGCTCCCCGCAGAGCAGGGAGCCCGATGCAGGGCTCTATCCCAGGACCCTGGGATCATGACCTGAGCTGAAGGCAGATGCTTAACCATCTGAGCCACCCAGGCGCCCCATCCTGCTGCCAAGGTTTTAAGCTTGGGTGACTTGCAGAATGGTTGGGATCATACTGCACTAAGCGTTGTCTTCTGCTTTAAAACTGGACGCTTGACATTTGCTTCAGACATTTTCCGTGGGGGCATTTTATTGCAGCCTAAAAAAGTGACCAATAAATGCTCAGCATTGCTATTCCCAAGTAATTGTGTGCCGAGAACCTCACTCAGTCTCTAAGCCCCACCCCTTCCTGAGCCTCTCCTCACCTTCCTGTGCCTCACTCTACCCCATAATCTGGAGTGGAGCTCATGGATATCTACTGCATGTATTCTTTCATAATAAAAAAACAGTGCTTTGACATTTTAGCTAAATTCTTTTAAGGCACCGACCTTGTCAAAGTGCCCTGCTTCATTTTAAACTGGTGAGTATTGTAGGTCAGTAACAGCATACTGTGAGTTTTCCCTCCAGTTGACCTGTTTTCTTCCCTGACAGCATCCCCTGGGCGGGAAGGACTGTGGGCAGGAGGGATGGACAGTTGCGTACAGAAGAGGTGACGGTTGAGCCCTCATTCTGCCCCTGACCTCAGAGTCTTGCCTCTGTCTTGGTGTCTGGCAAGGGGTGGAGCTGCTCACTACTTCCAGTCTCAAGAGGAAGTAGAGAGCGGGGCGCCTGGGTGGCTCAGTCGTTAAGCGTCTGCCTTCGGCTCAGGTCATGATCTCGGGGTCCTGGGATCGAGCCCCACATCAGGCTCCCTGCTCGGCGGGAGGCCTGCTTCTCCCTCTCCCACTCCCCCTGCTTGTGTTCCCTCTCTCGCTGTGTCTCTCTCTATCAAATAAATAAATAAAATCTTAAAAAAAAAAAAAAAGAGGAAGTAGAGAGGGTACAGTAGCTAATTTGTCCCTCATTTGGGGTCTGAAAGGGGAGCAGAGGCATCATGACTGTGGAATAGCCATGAAATGGACTCCTTACTTAAGAGAAAGGGAGTTACATATAAATGTACTTCCACTAATTTTATAGAGAAAAGTCAAGGATCTTGTCTTGTTCCTGTTTGTACCCTTTAATCATTTAGTATAATTCCTTTAGTATGATAGATGTTCAAGTTTCTTAAATAAAGGAAGAGAAAACATGAAAAAGTTGTGGCTACCTAACTTACGCCATTTATACTTCGGAGTTCCATAAATCTAAACGTTCCAGATAAGAATGCCACAAATCATTAAAATACACATAATCAAAAATTTTAACTTGGGTGAATAAAAGTGGTTTTTCTTTAAACCAAACCTGATAACAAAGCAACTAACAAAATTAACTGGTTTGAAATTCATTTTTTAAATTGCTTCCTTACAATCCCCTACTTCAGTGTCTCTTCAGTGGCCCACTTTCCCCATCCTTTCTTACTTTCTCATGGCAAACTCAACAAAGCAATGAAATATAATTACACAAGATTGTTTTTTGGTTGGAGGGATGGTGGTGTGGTTGAGTATTGTCTATACCTGCTTAGAAAGATGAGATGATAATTTGTATTTGAAATACACCAGACACAGGTCTTTAGAGACTAATTACTGCAAAGTCAGTGTCCAAAAACATTGTTTTGTTTTTTGTTTTTAAGTCAGCTCTCGCACAACATGAGGCTTGAACTCATGACCCAGAGATCAAGAGTCGCATACTCTACCAACTGAGCCAACCAGGTGCCCCCAAAAACATTGTTGATACTATTATGCATTACTGTCCATTAACCAAACAACATACAGAAAAATTACTAATGATGAGGCAGCTATTGAAATTCATAATCAGTAATAACAATGTTAAACACGTAGGTGGTGTGCCTTATTTACCAGGCTCTGTCTATCCAAAATGTTTTACATAAAATACTTAATCCTCACAACAACCTTAGGAGGTGGGTAGTGAGAGTTGCTCCATTTTACAGATGGTGAAACAAGCAGAGAATAATTTGCCTGCTGTCATACAGCTAGGAAGTGGCAGAGGTAAGACATAAATCCGAGATCTGGCTCCAAAGCCTGTGTTCGTAGGTACTATACTACCCAGCCTCTTGTACACTCAAGGCAATGATCATGCACTAAGTAGAAATATGGCCTGTGAGTCTCTATATAATCTGGCCCCTCTGTTATCCCCCTGAATTCATCTCCTGCTACATTCCCTCCACTCTAGCTGCACTAGCAACTTGTGTTTCTGAAACTTACTCTCCCCTCTCCACTTGTTCTTTTCCTGTATTGGGGATGCTGCTATTCCATCATATAGAGGAATGGCTGGCTCCTTCACCGGTTTAATTAAGTCTGCTCAGATGTTACCTAGGTCTCTCCTGACTGTTGTAAGTTGCAGTTTCCCCATACTCCTTCTTCTCCCTCTGCTCTGCTTATTTTCCTCTGTAGCACTTGTCAGTGTGATACGGTATTTTCCCATATGTATTATTTGGGAAATATTTCCCAAATATTTTCCCATATGTATTATTTTCCTATATTTCATCAGACCTAAGACACCATTAAGTGTCCCTCTGAGAAAGAAAAAAATTAAGCCCTCCCAATTGTCAGATGCATCTACCAAAAGATGCATCCCAATTTCAGATCTCATAAAATGTGAAAAAAACGTTCATTGTAGGACTCATGGAGTATAGTATATATTTTACATCTTTATCTTGTTTATTGTCTATATCTTCCTTGCCAGCAGAATGTAAGTCCATAGGGCAGTGATTTTAGTCCTTTTGTGAAATGCTTTATGCTATATGCTTAGCACAGTATCTGACACATAGTAAGCACTTGGTAACTCTAGTGGGTGAATGAATTCCCCAGATGAGGAAATTCCTGCTTTCAGCCTGTGTGCATGGGAGCAGAAATTCTGCAGCGTTGCTAAGCATTGCGAGGCAGCCCCGCTTCCTCAATAGAGTCTGTATCAGAGTCCTCAGAAAATTTTATTAACATGCTAATTTTAGCTGATGAATATTTTGTTGGCCTTTTTTTTTTTTTTAAATTTTATTTATTCATTTGACAGAGAAAGACAC